GCCTGAGTTACTGAGCAGCACAACAAGCATTTCTTAGGTTGGCATTCGAAAAATCCTTATCCAAGTTGCAGAATAGTTGTTATTAGAAATTCCAGAATCATTGAAAGACTAGTCTCAAAGCACTTAAACGCAAATATTTTATTCAACAGGCTTTAAGTTCTGAGTTGGCTCAAGCCAGAGATGAAACCAAGAAAACACAAAATGATGTACTTCATGCTGAGAATGTTAAAGCAGGCCGTGATAAGTACAAGACTCTTCGACAAATCCGACAAGGCAATACAAAGCAGCGTATTGATGAGTTTGAAGCAATGTGAGAGCTGTTACTTTGCGTACGTGTTCCTCGTAAAGCTGAACCACCAACAGAGAAAAAAGCAGGCCTTTGCAAATTTGATGGATTGCACCCCACTTTGCCAAAGCACTTAATACCAGTTTGACTACAGTGGCTAGAAGACAAATTTAGGGGAAAGTATTCAACAGTAAGGCAGTCTGTTATCCCTAGGGTTTTTGGGGGGAGGGGGGAGGGTGTGGAGCATGATAGCAGTTTTTTTCCCCCATCATGTTTTCATTTTCACTGTTCCTTTTTTGATATCCCCCCAAAAAAAGGAAACTGATGTAAAGTATATAATGACTGACAAGTGTATATATTGCTGAAACATTAAGAAATAGAAAGAAGGGTGGAACTGAACCTAAACTGGATAGGTACTATTTCAGTATGAAGTTTGAAATTACATTTTTTCAATGTAGCTACACCATTGACAGTTTGATATTGCTGACTTCCAGGTTTTTTTTTTTGTTTTGTTTTTGTTTTTTTTTTCCTCCCAAGTGAAATTCTTTGGTGTTTCATGTCCTGTCATCATTGATGGTTTTCTTTGCCTGCCTGTTCACAAAGGTCTAGATGGCAGGTGGTCGTTCCAGGAGGTATTTTCAAATGGAACACTACCTGTGGGCAGCACATGGCTGCTGATAGGCTTGAGTAAGTAATGCTTTTCCTAGGTGATTCTTTTAGATGCACAAAAGGTTCTAATGCAGCAAAGGGGAAAAAAAAAACCCAGACATACAAAGCTTCACGTGCTATTTGCTTGTAATTATTTTATTTGCAGTAGGGAGACCTGGACCTTTCTGGCAAGGGAGCATATGAAAACATCAGTCCCAGGGAGGGGACAGTATCCTACCTCACTACTATGTACATGATGACTGGTCCTTCAAACACCATGAAAAAAACCTGTTTGAGTATCACTACACAGTGGTATTGTAGAATGCTAGGAGCCCTTACTCCTAGGATTTTGTTTTACTTCAAGATGGATTTATAGTGCTAAATACTGTCTAATTGCCTTTTGTTGAGCTTCAATTGTAAAAGCATCTTGTGTGTTTTCAAGTTGTAACCTGTCACTGGTATGCTATCTCCTGGGAGGGGTGTAGAATGCACAGGTCAGTTTGGTTTGGGGTTTCCAAATACTAAAAGTTCCCAGAATTGGAGTAAAAAGTGTTTGTAGCTTCAGTTTTCAGTGAAGCTAGTATTGTAATTGTCATATCTGATGTCAGATCATTGTTATTAAGTCCTTTCCCTCTTGAAAAGGAGGCCTGCTTTTTTGAGAAATTTGCTTAGAAATTGAACTTTAGAAATCACTTGGCAGTTTATGTGGACTGCAGTTGCTCCTTCTGTTATAGTACCCTGGTAAATAACTACGGTGGAAGAGTCCTGCTTTCTCTGAGGATGGTTCAGCTCTTTTCTGTTTGATATTATGCACTCATAAATTTACACTTCTCTATTAAAATTTGCCATTTTATTAAACATTTTTTTCATGCACAATAGGTTTAAATTTCTTATGAACAGTCCAACTAAGTTGTTTGGGTTTTTTTAATTATTATTTTCCAGAGTTAAAGGTTGGCTACGAGGGGTGACATCATGACCATAAAATGAAGTTACATTAATATATTTTTGGTCTGTGGGGCTGTACGTATCTGGCTGCCCTGGAAGACTGATGTGCAGATGGTGTGCGCACCCTTCACAGTGCTGCTTGGGCGGAAGTCGGTGTTTCTACTTGCAGTGCGTTGTCAGAACAGTTCTTGTTTCACAGGCTTCTCACACCGAAGCTTAAGCGAGTCTCTGGAGTGTTCAAACAGTTTCCCGTAGCAGGTGAAATACTGTGCTTCCAGTGAGGTTTCTTTTTTTCCCTGGAAAGCGTGCACTAGCACTGATACATCAGATTCAGTGTTGGAAGCAAAATACCAGTGAAGTTTGCTGTTTGTAAATCTACAGTACATAGAGTAGGGCTAAATGGATTAGATCCATTTATAAAGCGGTGTGATTTTTTTTTTCCCCCCCCCTAAACAACCAGGAACAACCATTTGTAATACGGATTTTCACAGCGAACAAAGTGGCAATAGCTGCTGTCACCAGCAGTTGGGAACACTTACTGGTGCGGAAGTACTAAGAATACATTTAAGGATTACTTGGTGAAGTAATTTTCCACATGCTTTTCTCCTTTAACATGTTTTGTGTTGTACAATTAAGCTACAATTACATCTACTATTTTGGATAACATTCATTGGTTAACAATAAAGAGATACAGCTAATTTCTCTGAGGTCCATTGTTGTTATTTAATGCCCTTTATTTCTGACACCTTTACTAAACGCACTGTAACGGCCTTTTTTCCAGAGCAGTGCAGAAATTTGGTTTCGCACTCTGGTCAAAATAAATGAAATGAAAAAAATAAATTATATCCCTAGTGAGTGGTACTTTGCTTAAGGAACTACCACGTGCAGCTGGGAGGAAGCGCTGGTGACTGTTGTTTCAAAACAGGATGTGAATCATCAGGGCAGATGGTCCCTCTGGAGAGCAAACAGAGGGTGATTTGGCCACCTAAGAGCTCTATGGGCAATCTAAGAACTTTCAATCACTGCCTACATACTGCTTAGCTCCAGGTTAAATGAAATTTATTGGAAAAGGTCAATGTCTTAAGCACGGAGAAACCTGGAGGTGGTTTTTTTTGGTACTGCCCATCATGTTTGACAGCACTCTCCACTGTACCCATGGCCGTACGCTCTCGGTAATGGGAGTTTCTGGGCTTCCACCTGCCCCATACACTTGGAGATGGCAGGGACAGTCCCATATAAATAGGAACACAGATTCTCACATAAATTAGACCTCCTCTCAGGTGGCATTCCGTGCCTTGTATGTATTTGGCGCTGCGCTCAGTGCAAGCACATCACCCTTTTTTATTGCTCCCTACGGCAGAATCGCGTGTGGGGGAGTTAAAACGTGTACTGGGAGCTTTTTACTGCCCGCAGTTCTAAGTTCTAGGCTTCTCTCTTCTTGGAGCCTGCCGAAGCATTAGACTTGAGATTTCCTGTTTGTTAGAGAGCCTCTGCATGGTTATGTAACTGCAGAATGTCGTGCTTGAAAGGGGAGGTAAGTGCTTTGAAAGGTTTTATTTAAATACGCTGTTGAGGTGCAGAGGAAAGGATAGAAAATAGGGCCACTGTTTACAGGCCAGACTCACACGGTCACCCAGAATGCCTCGGTGTGACAGAAGATACTCCATCTTACGGAGGTAGTCTGCACACCAAAACCTACGTTCTCTGTTGGCTGTACCCTTCGAGTGCGTGTTTCTCATATAGTCTGTTTATTTTGTCTAGAATGGAATGAAATTCACGTCTGCCCTTTTAAACCTAGTTTGGAAAAGCGTTACTGTGCTTTTGCCTCTTCCTTAAAACTTGGTCTCTGGCGCTGTTCAAATAATAGCCTGCTTAAGCACCTCTGAGGAGAAAGTACCTCAACCGTATTTTCTTAATCTTCTAAAAGATTAAAACAATTAGTTAAAACCTTTTGCTTTGGAAAAGGAATTTTTAGGCAAGCATTTTCCGTGTCTGTTCGCAGGTGGATCAACCAAAAACTCTTGGTTCTCCCCAAGACGTCAGACTAGTTTCAAGCATCAGGGATTCTGACAAGATGATGTATCCCAGTGGAATGAGGTTGCTGATGCTAATGTTAGATACTTTCTGGGTAAAAATACCAACATCAGAGAAGCGAAAGCCACTTTAGAAAAGAGCAGAGTTCACTTGCTGATAGGAGTTGTCTCGTACACATGACGTGATGTGTCCTGGCTGGATGGTAAGGTTCTCCTGGAAGATGCAGGGAGTGTGGGTGGATCAGCATACAAACCGTGGTATGTCTTTGCCCCCCTCAGAGCATACCTGTGCCTAGAGAAGGGGAGCACCTCCCCCAGCCATGCTGGCCAGCTGGCAGCGTGGCTAGCCCATGGTGCTGGCTGGCTGCCTGTCCCTCTGCTCCGGCCCGGGCAGGCCACGCAGCACCTTTCCTCCCCAGCCGCCGGGCCTGCAAGCGTGGGAGTTCTGCACAACGGGTCCTTTTCCCAGTCTGGGGATGCAGTCAGCAGCAAGGAGCAGCTCAAGGCTGGACAGGGTGGTGTAGCCAAGAGGAGAGGACTATTAGGGGGAAAAATTGCAGCCCAAAACCTGGTGGTGAGCTGGCCCATTTATTCACTTGTGCTGAGGACTCCTCAGTGCACCCTTGCAGCATCCATAAAGTCACTGTGACCGATCAGTTGTTCAGCAAATCCAACAGCTGATTTGTTGGAGGGAGTTGCACTTTCCACTTCACAGAGCTGAGCCCAGATCCGTAGGCGTAGGCCAGTTACCTGATTTTGGTTTGGTTCGTGGAGTCTCACTCTTGTGTTCGCTTTGCTGCTTGCAGAATGAGTTCTTAAACTGCTCCTTTGGAGCACAGCTAGGTAAGCTGTGACTTGTCCCGCTTTTTCTGCCCTCACTGCTCACAGGTCTCTGGCATATGGAATGCATAGGTTTCAATTCAATGTGAAGTGGACTCACCAGAGCCCCCAGAACGTCCCCCTGAAACTAATCCCAAACCATCGAGTTTCTTCGCAAGAAGAGACGGCAGTGTTTGCAGCAGTGTCTGCAGTGGGCCAGATGCTCGGGAGGAGCGAGGTAATGCCTGTGTAGCTCGTGGCTGAGGGACTGACGGAGTTAGCAAAGGGAAAGGGAGCATTTGGGATTGCTGGGGTTCCATTAGGTGTTTATATTGGCTTGTGTAAACAATGTGTCAGAGTGTTTCTGTTCACAGCAGTAGGCTTTAGGCAGCAGAAGAAACGAGGGGAGACGGAAACGAGCATCCGAGGAGGCGGCCTGCTTGGTGCAGACATTCCTAATGCCTGTGTGCATAGGAGTTACTGTTCCCTGTGCTCTGGATAAGTCGATCAGGTGAAAAGAGATCAAGCGCAGAGGTAGGACAATTGCCTTGGGCTATTTCTGGCTTGTTTGGGGGCTTTTTTGTTTGCTTTAAAACCATCTTATTTGCACGAGAGGAGTTGCCACTATCTGCATATTTGGCTGAAGGCTTCTAAAAAACCTGCTGCCCAGCTGCAGCTGTTGGAGTTCTTGAGGCCACGTGTACCCAATCTGGCCTCTGCGTTATATAGATTTCAGAAGACATCCTCTGCAGTCTGATAACTTTGTCTGAGAGCCCTTCTGTCTCGAGAGGGTGGGGGTTGCGTACGTGCGCAGTTCTAGCTGCCCCACTGCTTGTTGCGGCAACGCGAAACCCATGCGTACCCGCGTGACCGGCTCCGTGACCGCATATGCTGAACTCTGCGGGATCTTGTATCAAGTCTGCGGCTCCCTGTGGCCTCAGCTTTCACGCTTCTTATTCACCCTTGATTTTTTCATTAAACTTGATACGGTATTTAACTTCTTAATCTGTAACTTC